AATCAAAAAAACAAAGAAAATAATAGAAAATAAAAATGGAAGATGAAGCGCGGTATGCAATTCACCCAAATTAATTACAATGGCCCACATAATTAAATATCACATTTAATTACTTAACACTTTATCAATTAATTCCAACATACGAGGTGACTGAAGTTTTGGGCAGGGGAGGATTTTTAGTTGTACGAAAAGGGATTCAGAAATGCGGTGAAGGAAATACGAGAGTTGCGATTAAAACTTTGAGAAGATTTGGCCCATTTATGCCTTCTCCAGGATCCAGAAATTCAAAAAATTCAAATCAGGCTTTGATTTCATATGCTTTGTTAACTAATGAACTTTTAGTGATTCGAGAAAAGTAGCAAACCCAAACAGTGAAATAAAAGAAAAATACACCGTTCTCTAGAAAAATCATGTAAAAGAAAATACACAATACGAATCAGACTCCAAAGTTTTCCCCAAAGCCATCACCCCTGGGAGGAGGAGGAGGAGGCGGCGACGGCGGCGGCCGGCGTGGCTGGATGGGGGTTGATTTTTCGTGGTGGGGATGGAACAATTGCTGTTTTTTTTTAAATTATTTTTGAGATTTTTAATTCATTTTTTAACTTATTTGATGGAAATTGTGTGTAATTCCAAAATTATTTTTGCTTATTTGGTGAAAATTATAAATTTTTTTTTATTTCTGAGGTCAACTAACGATTTTCGTGGTCAACTAGACGAAAATCGTCCATTTGGACTCCGGGTGCGAATTATTTAAAAATTTTGTATCGTGGGTGGCACAAAACAAAAGTTTGGATAAAGTCTGCAAAAGGTTGAAAGGTTCGGTACTGTAGCTGCAATTTTCCCTAAAATTATACAATCTATTGAAGTTGGGTGATTCACATGAAATAAAAGCTGTGGCAGGACTTCTACCGCTACGTGTCTTTGTTATAAATTTGAAAAAATATATATATAAAAAAAATTGAGAAAATCTTAATTCTGGAATGCTGGGAAAAAGAAAAACAAAGCCCTATTTCTAGAGTTTTCCTTCCTCTCCAAGCAATTTGGAGAAATCTGGCAGTCTGCTTCCACTCGTTAATATATAACAGAAAACCATTATTACAGAGCGACTTAGCCCCCGCGCGACGTAGTAATCAAAGCTGAGCACGAGGTATGAATGTATTTATGTATGTATATGTTGTAATGACTGGAAGCGCCTTTTTTACTTTGATTTTTAGTGAATGTTGTTCTGCTTGTTATTTTATTTCGTCACCTTGGTGCTTTTTATTGTTAATAATCTGATTTAATTACAAATGATAAATTATTATTCATTTTCTTGAATAATATGTATGTACACGTAATTATTTATTTTATCTATAGTATATGTTGCTGTTGTAGGAAACCAACTTTCTTTAGTTTTTTAAGGCATATTGCTCTGGGTTTTATTTTATTTTGTCATTTTGTTATTTTTTGGGTAATGTTCTAATTTAATTACTGGAGGTCAATTATTATTTACTTTTCCAGATTTTATGTGGTTATTAGAACTTCTGAGCAAAGAGGAGTAAGGGGTGTTGAAATTTCTGGTTTTTGTTTTTTTTAATAACCGTGGATGTGTGGTTAGTTTGCGCTCATCTCGACTAATTCCACGAGGCCAGGTTTACGGTATTCACTTCAATAGTCCTGAGGAACTCGAACTCGTGATCACTGGGGGAACAAACCCCAAGGCCTGACCAATTGAAAAAATTTTTGGTTTTATTTATTTGCTGAGAATAAAAATTTATGCTTTGGTTAATGAACTCTGGAATATATGTTAATTGTTCGTTGTGTAGTTAGATTTATTTTCATTGATGTCTCGATTTTATATCTTTTATTTCACCAGAAGCGATGGACAACTGTCATTTGGATGTCCTATTTTATGAGTAAAAAAATGTTTAATCAATGTGTGTCTATACGTAATTGTGTTCTGGGAAATTTTGATATATGACCATTTGGGAATTATTACTTTTCAGGTCGATCCATCTCTGATTCAGGGTTATAATATTGTTTTGAAAAGAGACTATCAGAAGATGGTAGAAGAATCGAAGCATAATGAAAATTCATGGATGAACACAGCAGAGCAGTCCTCTAGAATGGTTGAGATTGATAAAAATGTTACATTGATGTCTGAATCAGTGGTGATCATGGATGGAATCGAAGCTTCTCATCCTCAGCAGCATCAGCCTCACAATTTGAACACCACCATTGATGGCAAATTGGGCTTGCCCGAGCGTGCCTTTTCGGCTGCTGGTGCTGCAGCTCTCTCTGCTATTCTTGTTAATCCACTTGATGTTGCCAAGGTGTAATCTTATGTTTCATGTCGAAGTTTGTTAAACTTATTTTTTAATGTGGTGTTTTCATTTCTACAATTTTCACAATCGACGTTATCTTTCCATCAGAGTTCCATTTTTATCATTCCTTGTTGGATTATCTGCTTGTACTAGTAATGTCTCGGAAGGGTCATGTTTTTGGTTGGCTGCTTTGTAGAGTTTCTTCTTTTATAGGTGGTGGTCATACTTGGAAGTGAATTTTTTTTACAAACTAGTGCATATTTCTACCCTGACTGGTGTGGAAATTTTTTTTGTTAATTCAGCTTCATTATAGACTTTATAGCAAATGTCAGAATCATCTTGTTGTTTTCTTACATTTTATCAATTTGTATTCTTACACATTATTGTAGTTCTTTTTTTTTGCTTTGCACTTTATGAATTCGTAACCGAACACTTCTAAACAGAATGCATTTGTCGCACTGTATTGGTTATCTTGAACGTGCAATGCAGAAAATAAATTTTAAGTTAACCAGATTTTCCCATCTGGATGTGGAAATTAAGTTGTATTTTTTTTATATGTTTTCTAAAATTTTGTCTTTTATATACTATATTTTGCAGACGAGGTTGCAAGCACAGGCTGCTGGAGTTGCTTACTCTCATCCATTGGGTGATCTTACCAGTCGAATGGCCTTTTTTGGACCGAATATGGTATGTTACTTTCATCTTTTATTTTCTTTCCCTATTGTTCTGGTGCCCTTCATGTAAAGAACTTGCTTATTTTCTCTTTGATATTGTATCCTACATTGTTAACAACTTAGAGTTGAGCCTTGTCTAAATTGTTTAGATATCAGTGGACGCAGTTTCCTTCTAAAAATCAATCAGCTTATGTAATTGTATAAATTAAATTTCACCTAAAGTTTCTGCTTTCAAAATTATCGGATCGATAAGTTGCACTAAGTAACAAGGTATATTGACACCTTACATTTGTAACACTTCACAGAAAATCTCATTTTTATGTAGTTCTTGACCCTCCAATTTCCAACTTAAGGTACTTTGTGCATAATGAAATGAACGTTAAGAATCAGCATATTTACCTGATTTAAAGTTGCTTGGATAGCCGAGCTGTTGGATGTAAATTATCTAATAAATTACTTTTTCTATCTCAACACTAAGTTGACCGGATTTCACAGCCTTGAATGGTTCTTAAAGTGGTAAAGACGTGCTCAAAGTTACATTAGATCCAAGGAATGAAAGATTTAACTTACATCTTAATCTTGTAAAATGCTATTTTGTTTCGTTCTCACCAAAGCCATCATGAAGTTAAATCTTAATTCTAATGTTGCTGCCACTCAGTCTGTTCCCCCAAAATTTGTTTACTGATGAAAAGAATATTAACATGTTAGATTTATATATAGTCAACGAAATTCAGCCTTTTTTGTCCTTCATGGCATATGCAGTTTAACATACCTTACTGCAATGTAATTGCTAGTTGTTTGCTGATCTAAGGTGTTCTCCATCGTGCACGCGTGCTGGCGTTCATGGTACAGTATCAATTTGCCCTCCTGATTGTTTCCAATACAAAGGAACATTGGATGTCTTCTATAAAATTATTCGACAGGTAGGTGCTGTGTTGGTTACTTTTATACAAACTATGTTGTTTGACAAGCTGTGTTTACCTAAATGCATCAACATTAGGTTTTGTGCAAAATACCATTTAAGTTGTTGGACAAATAATGGTTGTGTGCTTTACAGGAAGGAATTTCTAGGCTCTGGAGAGGCACAAATGCTGGCTTAGCTCTTGCTGTACCCACTGTAAGTTTTTGGGTGACTGGCGCCAATGGTCACAGCAATAAAATCCATTATTCATCCCATGTTGAAATGAGATTCCTGCAGTGAAAATTCAGTGTGGGTCTACTATGTTTTCTAAACAGGTGGGCATCTACTTGCCGTGTTATGACATTTTCCGCCGCCAGTTAGAGGAATTCACTGCACAAAATGCTCCAAGCATGACACCATATGCACCATTGGTGGCAGGCTCATTGGCTCGATCTTTAGCTTGCACAAGTTGCTATCCTATTGAACTCGCCAAAACACGTATGCAGGTAACATATACGATAGCTGCTTATTTATTTTTTTCTCTTTCATATGTTCTTCACATCTTTCTTATCTAATAATCACTATCAACATGACGTGCAGGCATTCAAGGATTGTGGTAAGAAGCCTCCTGGAGTATGGAATACTTTACTTGAGGTTATCTACCAGGTCAAGGGGACGACTAGCGTCACTAACAGCTGTACGTTGATCATCTTAGCTTACTACAGAAGGTTGATAGTATTAAACTGAAAGTTACATTATTTCTTCAAACAACAGGCAGCCAAAGATTTGTGCATAGAAATCAAGTGAGGTGTTGAGGCCATGCCAGTCGTTTTCTAGAAACTCTGTAACTGCAAAAAAAAAAAAAATCATTTTTTCCCCTTTCAAATATCCTGTTAGACCTCATAAATGAAAGAAATCTCTATATCTCTTGGCAAACTTTTTTTCTTTGTTTGTCAGGTGTTTGGGTTCCAGCTTTTGTAGCCATTACGGAAATTTTCTGGCTTTTTCTGTCATTCAAATAAAATGTATTGTTGTATAAAATGTAACATTCAATCTTTTGCATACCTGACATGTATGAAAATATTCATATGGATGGTCTTGATTCAACTCATCATGGCTCATTCGGTTGCAGTGCAAAGCTACCGTGTTTTATGGACTGGCCTTGGGGCACAGCTTGCTCGCGATGTTCCTTTCTCTGCAATTTGTTGGTCAACTCTTGAACCGGTGAGGGCTTGTTATTGTCTTGTATATCTGGATCTTTGCCGATATTTCATCCAAGAGCTTTTGATATTAAAAGTTCTCAGTTATAGGTAAGGAGGAGGCTTTTGAGTCATGTCCGAGATGAGGCTAATGCAGCCAGTGTACTTGGGGCAAATTTTTCTGCTGGTTTTGTTGCTGGAAGCCTTGCAGCTGCTGCTACATGTCCGCTTGATGTCGCAAAGACCCGAAGGCAAATTGAGGTTATCCCTTGAACCAAAAATAATCTTCCGAATTCGGGAATTTACACTCATCCTTCTAGTAAGGATTTTATACAGTCGCTATACATGTCCGTTCTTTTTTACTTAAGTGATCCTTTTGTTGAGCATATATGGTGCAGGGTTCCGTAACTTTTTTTTGAAAAATAAAAATAAAATGGCTTGTATTTGTGCATTTTCCAGAAAGATCCCACCAGGGCATTAAAGATGACAACAAGACAAACACTTACGGAGGTTTGGAGGTATGTCTTAGAATATGTCTACCAACTGTATGTAATGCATGCATAAAACATGGACCACTCAGTCTGGATTTTGGTTGACCTACATGTAATGATCTGATTCAGTTTATTGGTGCAAATTCAGGAGCATGCTTGGGTGAGTTAAATTAGAAGTTTTTGTTTCTAAACATGTTTGGGTACTTTATTTTACTTACTTTACTGTTAAAATAACTTGTTTAAAATGATTGACTTATTTTAAAACTTGTCCGTAAACTTTTTAAGCTTGGTCAAACATGCATTTTTCTGCTACCAACTGTGGTCTGAACTGCGAGGTTAATTTATAATCTGTGCAGGGATGGAGGTATGAAAGGACTGTTTACTGGGGTTGGTCCCCGTGTTGGCCGTGCTGGTCCCTCTGTTGGGATCGTGGTATCATTTTACGAAGTTGTGAAGTATATTCTACATCATCAGTACGCTACTTAGTGAAATGCCACAAGTTGCTGACTTTATATTGCCATCTTTCCTTCTTTGGAAGGTCATAGTTGCTACAAGAGGGCTAATCCTTTATTATGGAGGGAGGAGTTCGGCAGTACTGATGTGGATATAGATGAACAGTTTTGAAATGGTAGTTTATCTTTACAGTTTGCATGTATCTGGAAATAATCTCTTCTCATTTATTTTTCCGACACGAGTTTGGTTTATTTACCTGTAACTCGGGATTTAAACTGATGAGAGATTTTGGAAAATTTTGATCATTTTAGTGACCACTTTTTGCCGAGTGAATCTCGGTTTAGCTGATGCATCTTTCCAGTTCTAGCAATCGAATTTATAGAAGTTTTCAGTGTGGTTGATTCTCTTATGCATTGTATTAGTGTAACCTATATGGATGGTGACTGGAAATCCATCTCTTCATGTCTCGTTTAGTGGGGTAGATTTTGTCTAAATTACAGTGCTCTTTGGTCATTCATTTCTTACAAAGTAATTTTATTGTATGATAGATATAAAATTAAAAACAAAAATAAATAAATAAGAAGTTTGAAAAGGTCTCCAATCTATGTTTGTTGCAGAAAGTAGGATTATTGTTGTCTTTTTTTATATCACTAATGTACGATATCGTAACAAATAGTATAGTGGACCATTGAGTTTGGATATCGTTCTCATGAAAACTAACTTTAGGGCTTAATTTAATTTTTCTAACTCATATTTGACAAAAGCGAGTAAATAATTATGATAGCTGTAATTATTTTTTCTAACTACTTTTTTAACTAATTGAAAATATAATAAGATTGTAAGCAATTGATAATTAAAAATCTAAATATGTGATGAATATTAGGAAATAACAATTTCATCTATGGATCACCTTTATTCTTAATACAAGATTCATAACCTAATGTAGTGTTCAATCGAATTCTTTTAGTGTATTGAATTTACCCTTCTCAAGTTCTTGTTAAGCCTATTTAACTAATTAAATTTCATATCTCTGTATGAATCAATTTCAATTAAACGAAACACTAGGTCTAAGAATTTATATTATGGTCGTAATAATAGTATATGTATATCAACACGTTATACTAATTTACCGAATTTTATTATATGATCTAAATCTCAACAACCATGCTACTTGTACTGAAATTGATGACAATGTGGATGACCGAACACTCCGGGCATTTTTTTTTTTTTTTTTGAAATTTTTTAATCACACGAAGCCCGCATACATGTGAGAGGTTGTCAACCTCCATTGTCACCAATTTATGTACAAATGGAATTGCCTAAGTCTCAAACTCATCTCTCGATTCGTAAGAGACTCTCATAATCATCAATTATTGATCAAGTGATTTAATGCATTAAACTCATAATAAAACCAACACATATGTAAATCAATCACAAAAATCTTGAATAAAAAAATAAAGGATTGCAAGTCGACACATTGTTTTCCTTAATATAAAAAATTAATCATTCATATTGTAAAAATAAAAAACACGCAAAAGTGGAAACATATCATCAAAAATGACGAAACGTGAAAATTTCTGTTGTTTTCAGTTTCCTTTCCTTTCTTTTCTCTTTCTTTTTTGTTTCTTTCCGCGTGTATTTTTTCTCTCTCCCAGCCACCTTCTTTGACTTTTCCCTCTTTCTTTTTGTTCTTCTCTTTTCTTTCTCTTTGTTTCCTTCCCTGTTTCTTTCCAGCGCCCTTTTTTCTTCTTTTGTTTCCACCTTTTTTTCTGTCCTTGCCTTCTCTCTGTGTGCGCGCGCGTGTATATATATATATATATATATAATTCAACACATTGAATCCCAATTAAAATTGGGAAAAAAAAATCATAAATCAGGCTTTAAGTTTCACAATGCAAAAATCAGGTATTTATTTATAAATTAAAAATATTTTTGTTAATTAAATATAATAATATATAATCAATGATCACATATATATAATTATAAGTCACAACTATTATTGGTCACAGATTATTTTGATATCACAAATCAAAAATTTTATAGGCCACAGTTTATTTTGTTGGTCACAGATAAAAAAAATTTATAGGTCATAATTTATTTATCGGTCACATATATTTCAGATTTTTGATCACAAATTATCAAATTTTAAGGTCGTGGTTTAACAGTTAGTCACAGAGAACCAAATAGTTGGTCACATACACCAAAAAACCAACCTTCGATCCCGATCCACCACCAAATAGTTGTCAAAAACACTCTTCATCCCGTCGCGGCCACCACCACCAATAACAATACAACACAACACCACGACCACAACATCACCACCTCACCACTATCACCACCACCATCAAACCAGATTTGAACCCACTAACCTACCACACACCACATCTGCTCCACAACTAGTCAAACACCATACACTGACAGTGTCGCCACCACGTCTCCAATACCACCGCACCCACAGTACACACACCCACCACCACAACATCCAACCTCACACTATCACCACCATCACTAGGGCTGGGTAAAACCCAAACCAACCCACCAAAACTGCCCAACCCGACCGATTTGAGTCGATTTTTTGTGATTTTTCACCTGGATTCGGGTGAGTTGGGTCGATTCATGGGTTGACTCTTGATAACCAAGTCAACCCAACCCAACCCAACCCGGCCTACTTAGTTTTAAAAAAAAAAAAAAAATTATGAGAACCCAGCCCAAGAGAACAAAAAAGGCAACCCCAGCCCACATAACACAAAATGCAACCCTAACTTTATTCTTCAAACCAAGTTCCAACTCTCTTTCTCTCTCTCGCCATCTCTCACCAATAATCCGTCTCTCTAGCCGTTTGATGCCATGCTTGCTTTTATCACTTGATAATTTGCAACTAGTTAGCTTCAATGGCGATGGATTGTTTGCCCACTTCCACCCCTACAAACTCATTCGCCAGCAAATCTTGTACCCCCTTCAACCATATGCAAATCTACCCCTTATCCTAGATTCTGCAAATCAATGCTTGTTCCAAACTCAAATTCCTCATCCAATGCGTACGATTGCGGTCTGTTTTCTGTCCAAAAAACCTTATCCATGGCCTGAAAATTCCTTACATTGGTTAACAAGTATCTACTGGGGTTGAGAAATTTGGCAATAATAGCTGCGAGGGCTCTAGAAGATTGCAAATTTCTAGCTGAGCTTAACATTTATTTTCTAATTAGTTCATTCGATACTGTCAATGGAACTTCATCGAAAACTCTTCCGATTTATGAAGCTGACGATGTTCAGACACTTATTAGCGGCATTTTGACAAACACTATCGATCAAGGTAATTTGCCACTCATATTGTGTTCTATTTTGTGGCTATGATTTTATATTTTATCAAACATCAAGGGTCAAAACAATGTTATTTACTACTGACTTAAAATAAAAGAATAAATATTAGCCCACTAGCTCGGATTATGGAAAACGAAATGTGGTTTGTCAGTTTGTAAATGATGTGATATGCTCCTGGCCCCATTTTTCAGATAGCATATGAATGGTGGTAATTAAATTATGTGAAATTGCTAGTTAAAAGGAATTGATTATTCTGGTTCAATTATATTCTATTTCCGACAGTATGAATAATCTATTTAGAGTTCAATTCACTTGAAGTTACTTTAATCCTTGGCACTTCAGTGGATATATGCCGGTTCTACAAATGTTTCTTGATTGTCCCAAACAACCAACCCAACCCAACCTGACCGATATTTAGTTGGGTTTGGTTGGGTTGGGTTCCAATCTTTATATGGGTTGGAGTTGGGTTGAATTTCAACCAAACCGACCATGTTGGGTTGGGACAAAAACCGACCCAACCCATCCCACGCCCACCCTAACCACCACCAACCAGATCTGAATCCACTACAACCAGCATCAACACCACCACCACACTTCGATGCAACACCATAACTCCACTCTACCACTGCACACACACCCACAACACACACACACACCCACCCACCATCGGTCTCGACACTGTTGTGAACTGTAGCCTCGCACGCTGCCGTTCACTGCAGCGTTGACGCTGCCGTTCACAGGGAGAGAGACGAGGGAGAGAGGGGGAGAAGGGAGGAATGGAAGAATTGAAAAAATTAGGGTTAATAATTATTATGTTTAATAATATTATTATATTAATTAAAATATAAAATTATTACCTGATTTTTGAATAATTAAACTTTAAACACCTGATTTTTTGTAATTTCCTCACTAACATTTTCAATACAAATTCTTTCAGGCCCATTTAACTCCGACACATTTAATGTATTATTTTCTCTCCAAGGTTTCATCTTTAGATTTTGCCATTTTTCTCTACTTTTACATTCTTTTCTCTAATTTTTAATAAAATTTAACGTTTTTCCTACAAAACACAATATAACATAAATTAGGTAGAATTTAATTGAAAATATAATAAAATATCATGATTTAGGTCTACGAATAAGTATATAAACTACACTATTAATTATCAAAGATTCCTGCACCTTTTGACTTATTATTGGTCATTGAATTTTAAAATGTGTTTTACTGGTTGCTGGAGTTATTGAATTGCTACATCATCTGTTATTCCATTAATCGATATGTCCTATTTCCAAAGATGTGAAATCCTCTTAACTTCAAAACCTAGCCTCCCTCTCCAGAGACCTCCATCGTCTACAACTCTTTTCAACACTGGAAGAACAACTAGAGGCAGTGCCTTGGATTGAGGAAGAAGTGGAGAAGCTCAGAATTTTGTTACGATTGAACTATTTCTTTCTTTTGTTTCTTGGTGTGCATGGCAAAAAATTGGGCTCTGGTTGTTCGACATCATCACAAATTTTCCACGATAAATTGTCCTTAGGTAACTATACTTTCCACGATATTTTTTATTGATCACTGTACCTTCCACAACGTGACTAATTATTGAATTTTTGTGACATTATGAAAACTAACTGTCAATTTTTTTTATTTTTTTTTCATTCTCCATCTAGTTAAAATTTTGGATAATTTTTTTTTTTTTTTAAAGTAAAAGTCATTTTTGAACTAAAGTATAATTTAGATGAAATCACTTGTCAAAAAGAGAAAAAGATGAACTTATTTAGGGGTTGTTTGAGCCTCATTTTTTTTTAAAAATGCATTTTGTAATAGTGTTGTAATAGA